TTTTCTTTCATGAAGTATACCGAAGTCATTCTAGAATGATCGTCAATGAAAAGAATGATGTATTTGTTACCTCCATGAGATGTTGTTTTCATGGGACCACATACGTCCATATGTACAAGCTCCAAAATAGTTTTGGCTCTCCATGCAGCTTCCTTCGGAAAAGGTAGAAGATGTTGTTTTCCGAGTGTACAACTCTCACATACCCCACGTTTTTCCTCAAATTCGTCCATACACCATCTCCTTTTGTTGAAGCACTTTGAGACCGTGAAAATTTAGATGTCCTAATCTCTTATGCCATAGCCAAGAGTCACCGTTATGTTAGACTTTCAGCGCTTGATTTTCTCCACAAACAAATTTTATTAGGAAACTTTTATTCGGCTGCATTTTGATATTACCCAAGAGTTGTCTTCCATTTCTTTTGTCATAGATATGACACTCATTATTGTCAAAGTTGAGCGTGTAATGGTGCTCCAACAGCTGTCCAAGGCTTAACAAATTTTGGTCCAAGTTAGGAACGAATAAAACATCACATATATGTTCCGTACCTTGCTTTGTTCGAACACCAATTGTTCCCAATCCACGTGCTGCAGTTGTAACTCCATTTCCCATTTTCACTTCTGTTTGTACAGATTCATCCAAGAATACAAAGCTTGACTTGTCTTTGGCCATGTGATTGCTACATCCGCTATCAAGGTACCAAACATCGTCTTTTACGTCAGTAGCTATATGACAAATAATGTGCATCCTGATTGTTTTTTAATCTACATTTTTTCTTAATATGGTCATATTTTATGCAGTGTTTACACCGAGGCTTACTTTTGTGCCAACAATCTCGATCAACATGATTGAATAATCAACAAAACTACAAGGTTATGAATTTTCAACATGAGAAAATCTTCGAGGTGTTTTTCTTCCTCGTCCTCTAAAATTTCCACCTCTGCCTCAATCTTGTATGTAACTTCCACCTCGTTGTGCGCCTCCTCCTCTCTGATGGAATTGAGAGGTATTTGCCCCATATGATTGGAATTTATTGATATCTTTGATTGAAATGCGCTTTCAGTTGTCTCCTCACTATGCCGAGCGATTCTTTTTTCATGAGCCTTTAACGATCCCATCAACTTCTGGACACTTAAGGATGAAATGTCTTTTGTCTCTTCAACAATAGAGACCACATGATCAAACTTTCGAGGTAGACTCACAAGAATCTCTTCAACAATTCTGCTATCACTGATTTCTTCTCTGAATATTCTCATTTCATTCACAATGGATGTGATTTTTGCACAATAATCTTAAACACTTTCTGCTTCACCCATCTTTAAATTCTCAACCTCTCTTCTAAGGGTTTAAATAGAAACATTTTTTACCTTGAGATTTCCTTGAAATTCCTTTTGTAAGATCTCCAAATTATTCTTGGCACGATCGGCTCCCATGATCCGTGAAAAAATTTCTATACTTACTCCCTGTTGAATAAAAGAAAGTGTCTTTGCATCCTTGTTTCGGTTTTCCTTGATCGTCCTCAATTATGCAACGATAAGATCTTCTTCACTTTCATACTCTGTGTATCCTCTTTCGACATATTCCCACAGGTCATGAGACCTAAAAATAGTTCTCAATTTTACGTACCAGTGATCATAATGGTCGCCAAAAAATATCGGAAATGACGAAATATCATTGGCACGATTCGCCATAACAAAAATTGCCATGCAATGGCTGTGATACTTGTTGAATTTTAGGGGAAGAAATCAGAAAGATTGAGGTGGAAAAATACCTTATTGCCTCAACACGCATTTAATAGAGTAAGAGTTACAATTATAACATAGAACATGGGTGACTCATTATCTACCAACATTTAACCATATTAAATATAAGTTTTCAACTCCTAACATCAATTCTCAATTTATTATAGGACGTTATGTGCACATTAACTCAATATCCCCCGTGCCGCCGCATGCCCGAGAAGATGAAAATGAAAGATGTTTTAAATGCCTGCCCCGCTGCCGCCGCCTTCTGTCGCTGACACTGGTGCGCCAGAGAAGAAGCCGCTGCCTTCCGGAGAAGAAGAAAGAGAACAAGGAGGATTGGCTCTGCCGCTGCCACCACTGTTGCTCTCGTCGCCGCCGATGCCGACGCCGACGCCGCTGCCGCCGAGGAGTAGTAGGCGGAGGAGGGAAGAAATGAAAGAATATTGTGGAAGTTGAAGGGGAGGAGGAATTAACCAATGAAGAAAAAAAAAAAGAGAGAATATTTTGGAAGATCAAGGAGTGAAGGAATTATTGAAGGAAGAAATAAATGAGGAAATTAATGTTGAATGGTATAGGGTGGTGATTGATAGGTGGCAGGTGATTGAAATTTAAAATTAATATAGGACTTTTTTTAAAATTGAAAAAAAGTAGTTTAGGTGAGAAATTTATATTTGAATTTTTTTATTATTATTTTTTAAGTTTTCAATTTTTTTACAGAAATATTTTAATTTTGAAATTTTTTAAAATTAGGGTAGTACAGTTTTAGCGGAAAATTTTATATTTGAATTTTTTTAGAGTTTTTTAAAATTTGAATTTCATTAGGGTAGTATAGTTTTTGCTGAAAATTTTATACATTTAAATTTTCTTTAGGATTTTTTAAGTTTTGAATTTTATTTTAAAAAAATTTTTAATTTTTTGAAATTTTTAAAATTAGAGTAGCGCAGTTCAGTCGGAAATTTTATATTTTTTTTAGATTTTTTAAAATTTTGAATTTTTATTTTAAAGGAAAAATTTTAATATTGAAATATTTTAAATTAGGGTAGTATATTTTCGGTCGGAAATTATATTTTTGAACTTTTTTAGGGTTTTTTAAGTTTTGAATTTTATTTTAAAGAAAAAAATTTAGTATTGAAATTTTTTTAAATTAGGATAGTGTAGTTTCTGTGGTAAATTTTATATTTGAATTTTTTTAGGATTTTTAAGTTTTAAATTTTATTTTAAAGAAAAAATTTAATTTTGAATTTTTTTTTTAAATTTAGTTTTGAATTTTATTTCAAAGAAAAAAAGTTATATTAAATTTTTTTAAAACTAGGGTAGTGTAGTTTTGATGGAAAATTTTATATTTGAATTTTTATAGGTTTTTTAAGTTTTGAAATTAATTTTAAAGAAATGTTTTTAATATTTTGAAACTATTTAAAATAAAATTGACACTTTATAGTATAAAAGAGACCAAAAATGTATTTTACCTCGAATTTAATTACTTATTAAATTTATTATTTAAATAATATTTATATTGTAACAATTTAATCAATTATTATTCACATATTTTTACACATTAAATAAACTATAAATATATATATCTAAATAGAATCAAAATCAAACTTATTAATTAAAATCAAAATCAAAATTAATTAATTTCCAGTGACGGGTGAATTTAAATTGTTTAATAGGTTAGGAAGTTTTGAATCTAATTACAATAGGCTCGAAAGTTTCGAGACTAATAAAGGTTCGGTATTTCCGAGACTATATTAGTCTCGAAAATTTCGAAACTAATTACAATAGATTCGAAAGTTCCGAGACTTTAATAGTCTCAGAAATTCCGAACCCTTATTAGTCTCGGAATTTCCAAAACTAATTACAAAATATTCGAAAATTCTTAGACTTTTCTGAGACTAATCAAAATAGGTTTGGAATTTTTGAAACTAATCAAGATAATAAATTATATATTTAATATAGGTTCGGATTTTTAAATAGTCTCAGAAATTTCGTTGTGAGAAAAAATTAATTGATTTAATATTTATTATATATTTTTTTTATAGTTTCGGAATAGATTCCGAAGCTAATTCCGAGGCAAATAAAGGTTTTTTTGGTAGTGATAGTTTATACGTTAGTAAAAGTGTTTAAAATTTTTTGATATTTTTGTTATTTGATTTAATGTATAAATTATTTATATGTGTAATTCTATATTTGTAATTTAAATAAAAATTAAGGATATTTTGATATTAGTGTATGATTATTTTTACAAAAATAAAAAATAAATAATTTTGAGTGGAACAGTCGAAAATACTAAAAAAAAATTATATTACTATTATGTTTCTCTATACGTCAAAAAATATTTCAAACTCAAAATACAAAGCTAACACATTGCATTCAAATTGACTTTTTAAATTATTATATAATAAAAAATTAGAAATTACATTATAATAAAAGAGAATTAAATTATTGTATAATAATTCAATTAATAACATATAAACATAAAAATATCTAATTCATTCCGTAAAATGATCTTTATGGGGACCATGCGGAGATTTCAAAATATACATTTTAGTAAGAAATTGAAAAAAAAAATACAAAAATCAATTAAGGGTGTGTTCGTTTTGATGGATTTGGATACAATTCCACTGTTCATCCAAAATTTTCCCCCTAAAAATATCAAATCAAACACCTATTTTTCATTTTTTATATTATACTAAAAATCAATTTTACATTCAAAACATCACATCATCACCTATTTATATCACATCATACAACTCTTCAAATTCAAAATTTTTACTATTCAAATCCCAACTCAAAATCCAAACCCCCAAACAAACACACCCTAAGTGTATCTAAGTATCCATATAAATTAAGTTAGTGATTTAAGAGAATAATAGGTTAAATTGATAGTAATAACTGTAGTAAATAAAAATTAATAGGTAAATATTAAATCTTCTTGTGTTTACATAAATTTAACTTGACATATATATAAAAAAAAAAAAAAAATTGAATAAATTTGACGGATAAAAAAAACTATATATACATATATATAAAAGCAACGCACACATTAGCATATGTATATAGAATTAATAACAAGTAATTAATATAAATATGTAGATTAAAAAGATAAAAGAAAAGAAATAAGATGAGATCATTGAAGACGATAACCTTAAGCAAAGCAAGGATCAAATGTATTTTTGGATCGGTAGGTCTACCACGAACAATAAAAACCCTAATTGTCCTTCTCAACGATTCATCACAACTAGTTACCTGCTTAATTAATTAGGTTGCTGGCTTGGAAGATCCCTGAAGAACAGAATCATCCTCAGGTGCATCGATCCAAACAGCTTCATGCTGTTCCTTAGGGCGAATTAGAGCCTCCCTAAAGTATCTTTTCTGGTGCCTTAAATACCTCATGAAGTACTGGTCGTCCGAGAAGAAAATGCAGTCTCTCATCCGCCCAGGCATCTTATCCTTTATGTAGGAACCTTTAGGGCTTACAAAGATTGTTATCCCACCCAAATCTCTCACCTCCACCCAGTCCAATTCAGTCTGGTCGAACTTAAAGACTGCTACTGAACAAACAATGCATGTCCGGACAAGAAAGACCTCCCCGCCGTGCTCCGCCATGAACCACCTCCTTCTATTTGGGAAACCACCGTTTACCAAATGGTCATGCTCGGCATTGAAGACTCTCCAGTTGTTTCTCGTTGGATCGAAGATTCCCACCCTTCCTGAGGGGCTCATCCAGTAGAAACTACCATTGCAGGCTACTGCACAGCTCCAAATGCAGTCGGGGAATGGGTACTGCGATTGATAAGTGACAGTCGTCCATTTATCATCCCCCGGGCGACAAGTTGAGATGGTTGCGCGTGTGTACAAAGATATATTTATAGCGACGACGACACAGTCTGGCGATTTTGGATTTCCTGAGAAAGCCGCTCCTTTGAACTCCTCGGATAATCGAGGTAGTTGAACCGAGTCAGTTGTGTATGGACAGAATAATGTGAAGGCTCGCATGCTCGCCTTGAAAAACAGCATCCAACGATCCCGGACATGGTAGAGTCTACCTCTTCGGCATTTTGGCAAGCTGAGGCTGTGCGACTGTCTCGAAGAAAGGTCCACAAATTCATACCGATGGTAACTATATATAGTTGGAAGGTGCAGAAGCCGCGGTGGTGTGCCCAAATTTTGAACGGTGGCGGCAGCGGCTCGCCATTTCCTGCAGACACCGGCAGCCCGAGCTGTGTCTTTAAAGCTCAGTAGAGTGAAGACGAACAGTAGAATATCTGTAGGAAGATAAAAGTCGAGCTCCTGTTGCTGCTCCTGCTCTAGCTCTGTCGATGTGCTTAAAACCCTTTTGTTATTAGGTTTTTCTTCCATTGAACTGCCAGCAGAAAATAACTTGATAAATAAGAAAATATATTTGAAGGAATTGAAATATAGAAATTACATGAATACAATGTAATTCAGAATCAAAGGTTACACGCTTGAATTGATCTTATCACTTCCATTCCGCTGAAGAAGATTCTTTTTATTTTTTTTTTTTTAAAAAAAACTATATAGCAATGGTGCTAAAGAAGAAATTTTGTGATTTAGACATGTTGAAAAAAAAAAAATTTATTCATCTTGTATGATTTTTAATAAAAATATATTATTTTTAAAAAAAATATTATCAAAAATATTATTTAAACTACAACTCAAATCACCACCTCAAATTCGAATCAAAATCAAGCAAACTCTATAATTGTAGCATTTTATTATAATGAAATAGATAGGAAGATAACGAGAGAGAGAAGATAATATGTTCATATCAAAATACTATTTAAATTAAAACGCAGATCACATTTCACAATTATATACTTACATAAGTGAAGAAACTTAGGACACATAAGACATTTGCATAAAAAATTTTGAACAACTCATTTACAAATAAAACCTACAAAGTAACATATACCAAAAAAATTTATTAATAACAACCCGAAGAACCGGAGAAGATGTCAAAGGTGGGGGAAAACCAAACTAGTTAAAGTAGAATGAAGAATTAAAGATAAAATTAAGGTTTACATTAGGGTATAACTTAGTTATAAATAGACTATTAATGATATAATTAGTATTTTATATTAAAATTTTTGAACCATTTTCCTTTTCTTCCAAAATCCACTCATTTTGAAGAGAGCAACTTTTCTTCCCCTTTTCTCCCATAAAAAAATAATTTGAATCAAACATACATTTTTACAGATCTATCGACATATATTGTAAGCGTCAAACAACAACAATAACAACGAAAAGAACAATGAAGAGGAGCTGATGTTTAATTTGTTGTGTACAACTGAACATGAATAGTTTTTTTTTTCCACACGCACACACTCATAAATCCAATGAAAATTTTACCCAACCCAAGATCTAACTAGAGCGCTTGTATTTAAAAAATATTGAATAAAAATAATCGTATTTGCCAAAATTGACTGACATTTAAGAATGCTTAAACTAGATCCCATCTCTTCACATATCAATGGGCAAGAATCAAGTATTCAACTATTTTCTCTTTAAGAAGGAAAACCCTTTTTCATGACATTAACATAGTAGAAACTTTTGCAAATCATGCGGAAATAAAATCACACGATATTATTAACTTATAATTGTTGGAATAGATGAAATGCTAAATAAAAAACTCACGATTTCAGCTTCTTGCTGCTTTTCCGTTGTTCTCCGGCCATGGTTTCTCAGCCCCACTACCTCCTAGGTTGTATAGTCTGTCCGAGATGGATATTTAGAGAGATAGAGAGAGAGAGAGAAAATACAGGCGTCGATTAAAATTCTGACTACTTTCCTATTTCCAATGGACGGATTTTGCAAGAAAGTAAATGAGTGTCCGCCCTCTCTATTTTACTGATTTTTATTGGAAAAATATTAATCATATTTTCCGATTTTACATCATGTCTATTATTTGTAAAATTACAAAGTGAGTAATCGTAATTTGGAGGAATTATAAATATTTAGACGATACATATCATAAATATACAATACCAAAAAAAAATTGTTTAAATGATGCTTGTCATTAAATTTTTAATATCAATTCAAGAAAATATTTTTATGTTTTCCGATTTTTATATATACATATATTGAATTATTATATTACACAAACGTTTCAAAATATTAAATTATCAATATTACATATGAAGAATGTATATGTAGATTCATATAAATATTTTTAAATTTGATATTAGATCATGTGCTGATTGAAAAAATAATTCAATTGTAACTATTAAACAAGTACAATTTAGTCAATTTAAATATTTTTTTTTAATCAATGGTCTTAATTAAATTTAACAATGCTGAATTATGAAAAATCAGCTCTCATCGATTATTTTTTATTGGTGTTTTAATTATCTTACAGTGATTAATTATTTGAGAATATTTCAATAATTTTGTTGAAAAGAAGAAAATATCAAAATTAAAATTACTACAGTATTTTAATTATCTTGCAGTAATTAAATATTTGAGAATATTTCAATAATTTTGTTAAAAAGAAGAAAATATCAAAATTAAAATTACTATAATATTTTAATTATCTTGCAGTAATTAATTATTTGAGAATATTTCAATAATTTTATTGAAAAAGAGAAAAATGTCAAAATTAAAATTACTTTTTTTTCCTAATTTAAAATTTATTAACTGATGGGCATAGAAGCCCAATGTCTTATAATTTCCTTGATTGACGGATTATATATTAAATATTTTATAATTTCTAGCATAATGAAATTCTATCAAATTCTTGAAACAAACTGCCCCTAAATGATTTTGATGACATAATACGAAGATTTGTGAAACTACGTTTTATACGTTAATATTCGTTTGTTGGTGAGGATGCTTCCTCATTATTTTGGGGCCCTTTCAAGGCCCTTAAAGACTCCCTTTTTTTTTTTTTTTAATCCTCCAGTTTAATTTGAAGGTAAATATTACTCTGTTCATTTCGGTTATTTTCGTACAATTAATTGTTTTTTAAAAAAATATAATTATAAATTTTAATCACATTTTAAATTTTATAATTTATAATTTTCTTAATTTTAATTAAATCATTTAGTTATTTTAATTTTAATTAATAATTATTTTTATTATACAATAATTATTTTTACTAATATATTTCTTAATTATTTATTAATTATACTTTATCAAAATTTTTATATCTACAATAATAGGGACAATTTGATTCTTTTTTTTTTTTTTTTTTTTGTTTTATATATGTGGACAAAAAATTGTGTTATTTTTAATAAACATAAAATTTGTACAAATTATATTTGATTTGAATTTAAAGTGGGTTATATTATCTAAATGGATCATTTGATTCTCCTTTCTGGTCGATTTATTTTCCAACTTAGTTTTCTATGGCTTCTTTGATCCGAAGAGATTTGGTCTATGGTTTGATTCTGCCGGACTTTGGAGGGCTTTGGTCTCCATGCAGGCAATTTGATCGTTAGCTTTGGATTTTGATGTCTCTTTTAGACGATCCGAGGCTTTGATCTTTAATTTGGCTTTGCCGCCTTTTGGAGGGCTTTGGTCTCCGTGCAAACAATTTGACCGTCAGCTTTGGATTTGATGTCTTCTTTGGATGATCCGCGGCTTTGATCTTTGGTTTTCCTTTTCCGCCTTTTGAGAACTTCGGTCTTCGTATGAGCGATTTGATCGTCGGCTTTGGATTTAATGTCTTCTTTGGACGATCCGCAGCTCTGATCTTTGGTTTGCATTTTCTGCCTTTTGGAGAGCTTTGGTCTCCGTGTGGGCGATTCGATCGTCGGCCTTGGATTTGATATCTTCTTTAGACGATCCGCGGCTTTGATCTTTGGTTTGTCTTTTCCGCCTTTTGGAGAGCTTCGGTCTCCGTGTGGGCGATTTGATCATCTGCTTTGGATTTGGTGTCTTATTTTAACGATCCGAGACTTTGATCTTTGATTTGGCTTTACCGCCTTTTGGAGGGCTTTGGTCTCCGTGTTGGCGATTTGATCGTCGGCTCTGGATTTGATGTCTTCTTTAGACGATCCGAGAATTTGATCTTTGCTTTGGCTTTGCCGCCTTTAGGAGAGCTTCGGTCTTCATGTGGGCTATTTGATCATCGACTTTGGATTTGTTGTCTTCTTTAGATAATCCGAGACTTTGATCTTTAGTTTGGCTTTGCCGCTTTTGGAGGACTTTGTCTCCGTGTGGGCGATTTGATCCTCAGCTTTGGATTTGATGTCTTCTTTGGATGATCCGCAGCTTTGATTTTTGTTTTGTCTTTGCTGCTTTTGTAGGGCTTCGGTCTCCGTGCGGACGATTTGATCCTAAGCTTTGGATTTGATGTCCTCTATAGACGATCCACGGCTTTGATCTTTGAGAAGGTGGATTTGGTGCTCCATAACGCTTTTTGGTGGCATATCCCTTTGACTTTTAAATCAAAGAAGGCCTAGTTTGATGCTTTGTTGAAGAACGCGATAAACATCATAAAGCTTTGAGATGAATTTTAGAGACCTTCCCTTAGCTTTGACGAATTCCTCAACGGCTTTGGACGCTTTGATCCTTCCTCCGGCTTGAGCATACCACGAAAAACGTTAACTCAATCGATTCGTCAATCAATATTGGATCATTTGTCCAAATCAGTGACTTTTGACGAAGAACACTTAGAAGGACATGAAGAACATGAAGAACAATACAGAGAGAGTCTAGAGACTTACCCCTTTGCTTGAATCTTCGATGAAACTTCGGTGTCCAATGATTTGGCCATGGCTCCTATTTATAGGGGATGGGTGGCTTCGGCTTCCTTTTTTAATGGTGCCACGTGGCGCGTTTTGATTGGCCAATAGGAAGATTTTATAATCTTTCATTTTCCATCAGATACTCCCTTCCATTCTCGACAGATTTGATTGTACACCTTCCTTTCTCGCGAAGATCTTTATATCATTGCCCTTTTTCGAAAGATATTAATTTATACACTTCCTTTATTGACAAGATTAATTTATTTTGCTGCCAAATTTATTATGGCTCTATTTATGCACGTAATATTTGTATGATATCTTCCATTTTAAGCAGATCTTTGCATTAATGATTGATATTTACTGTACAAAAATTAACATATGTGCATAATTAAATATCGTATATTTATTTTATTGTAATTTTATTTTCTTCCAAAATATATGATATTTAATTGATTTTAGACATATATTTTTAGTGTCTACAATATAAAAGTAATAATGTTGGTAAAATATGAATATTTATAAAAAATAAATAAATAAAAAATAAGTATTTTTTTAAATAATTACTTAATAATTAGATAATCTATGTATACTTTGTGGTGGATGGAGGGAGTATTAGAAAACAAATATTATAAACATATGTCAAATATTTAT